GGCAGACCTTTAACAAATAACTCCAAGTGTAACTGCAAACCTAGAACATATGCCTTCTGTCCATTATGCCAGCTTTTTCTAAGTGAGAATAATTAAGATTTGCTTAGATGTAAGGTTGTTAAGATATCAGGGCTTGGTGCTGCTTATATGTGAGTATCAATCACTACATGAAAAAAGATGAGAAAAGGTTTAATTTTAAGGGATCAATAGCTACTTGAGCAAGATTAGAGGGTATAAGAAAAAGAATATGGTTTAGAGTAGGAGATGAATTGCTTAGAAAAGTTCAGTGCTGGATTTGTGAGATGGGGCAGCAATAGAGGCTGGTTGGAGTGGAACTTTGAACATTGGTAGGCAACAAGAGGCTGCTGGTGAATTAGGAGCGCTTTATGTGTGTCACTTTAGCTTTTTGTTGGAAAGCGAATGTATAATAGGATCTAGAAATAGTAAAGTTGCTTTGTGCAAACAGTTGAACCAACTATGATTTGAACCAGTTCATGAGTTAATATAAACATTCAATAGAACTATCAGAGAAGTATCCGTTTGAATGCTCTAACCTGAGCCTTGTGAGAGAAAATTGTTTAATCCTAAATTTGGAGAAAAAATCTATATATAATTATTTTATTTTGATTTGGACAGGATCATTTTAAATAGTTGAGATGAACATTTTCCACTCCTAAGATGGAGTGGCCTTGTTGCTACTAATCTAGATACAAAATTAAATGATTGTCATCAAATTTTTTCCGAAGTTAATAACAATTGATAGTTCGTACAGTACATCATTTAGAAAATAGATTGCCTGGACATAATGGGTTTTGGAGTTGGGTTTAATTATTTCTTTGACTTATTTGTGCTGCAAAGAATAAAGTTGCTCTCTGTAGCTAAGGTTTCTTTTATTCTTCCTAGTCTCTTTTAAGTCCAGGTGAACCTTGAATCTTTCCTGGTTGTATTAGCATTTAGTTAGGTTTTAAAGCAAATCTGTCTCTTGTTTATAATTCCAAGATGTTAGAAAGCAACCATCCTAGAACGGGTGATCTTGTTTTGGACCAGGTTGATCCAGCCAAGAAAACCCTGCTTTTTAAGGGATGATCCTCACAAAGTATTAACCAGGATTGGTCACACTCGTCTTGGAGCTCTAGAGGCTGATCCTAGCTACTTTGCTGATCCCAACCTATTCTAATGGATTTTGGTAGATTTAGCTGATTGTCAACCTTTTTTATCTTGAATTGTGCTTTAGGAAAAGTTAATATGGTTGGGAGAGATTTGATGATGCTTGCAGGCATAGGCTGTCTAACACATCGAAACTGTTAAAATGACATGACCTTGCCTTAATGGTGGATGTGGCTGTTAACAGATCTATTTGGTGAAAGGTCCAACACTAAATACTTGTGTTAGATTTTAGAATGACTCTGCTTCAAAGCCACTAATCAAGATTCAACCCAGAACAGTTGTGCAGATATATGATGAAGCACCTATCCTTATAAATTGTAATGTCTTTAAATCTAGAGATGTGGCCGAGTTTTCAATAGTTCAAGGAGACAAAAAGAAACAAAGTAACTAAGGAGTCAGTATAAACATAATTTGTCATGATTTATGCATTATTATCTTTTAATACTTTGAGATGTGAAATTTTGTAAGATAAACTTATGAGAAATTTTGAGCATTAATAAGGACCACATAGATTCTCCATGCTCAATGCCCATCATCATAGATATCGATAAGTTTTTGACTCAAGTATATCTTGAACCTTTCTCAGTTAGGACCTGGCTAATTGCCTTTGTAACAAAGTTTTGCTTTAGATGGAAACTTAATATAAATTTGAAGTTTTCATACATTATCATATTCAATTCACCATCATATGCATTTCGGAAGTTACTTTTTTTGTTAGTTAAGGTAGATACTTTAGATAATCCAAATGAATGTTCTTTTTATTTTTTCTAAGGAAAAACTTCATATATAAGTTGAACTTGAAGAGATTGGAAGAATGATTATAAATCTGCAATTGACGGTAATCTAAGAGCAATAGTGTCCAGCCACATTTTAAAATAAGATCTATCTTTTTTTGTAGGTTAGGTTAGTGCATGAAGGCGTATATAGTGTGTTGATGCCATCAACCATCAATAGTGAGTAACATGCACTTTCTTTAAATTGCTGTCATCATGTTGTTTTCTGTTGTGAGAATTGTGTATGCCACGAGTGTGAGAGAACTTCAACCAACAGTCATTATGTTTCATCTGTCAAGAGTTAGAAAAGATGAATTTACAATCAGCTGTCAACCTTGCATTGGCTCTCTTTGTTGATTCCAAGATTTTGGTCAATACAAGTTTTATGTAAAATCTGGATGTCTATAAGAATCTAAAAGCCTGTTTACTGCTAAAAAATATATACTTTAAGTTGAAAATTTAGCTTGTCCAGTTGGGCCCTATGGAGCAAGACTCCAAACTCTCAGGAGCTGGTTAGACTCCCAAAGAAGGGAAAGATGTGGATCAATATTGGTCTCAAAGACACAAGCCTACGAACTTATGAAAGAACTCGAAAGATATACCTTAATTGCATGAGTGTTAGAAGTCTTTATTTTGCTTTAGCATCCAGTTAGAGGTTCTGTAACCACTGCCTTTGGAATACTGGATCTTGAATACCAAAATGTGACATTTATTCAATAAACCCTTGTCCTTGTGCATTACTATATAACAATCTGTTGAAAGTCATTTCAGAACAAATAGCAAATACTTAGCGTGAAACTTGTTTCCATCATCCTGTTATTGTCTTGTGCTATGAAAGGAATATTTGAAAGTTTAAGAGAATATATTATTATATTTAAAGGTAGGTTCTAATTGACTGTTTTCTTCCCAGGTTGGGCTAGTAGAGGTCGATGATGAATACGAAGAAGAGGTTGCTTCAGAGTGCACAAATTATGGCACTCACTTGTGTCTTGATATTTGATCACCAAGCCCAAAGTGCAGATGAAGCAGTCAGGATCTTTACGGAATTTTGGAGATCAGAAAGGCTAGAAGACTGAAATTGTGACCTTTTGACTGGCTTACTTCCTCAAGGAAAACAGCTAACAGACGAACTTTTACCTCTCATGGTCCTCTTTTTCACCGGTATTGAACTGCAACTGCTAGTGATGGGATGGACAAATAACTCCTCCCTGTCAGATTGGTTCAAGGAGGATGATCTACAGCCTAGGTGTCCCCACCTAAGAAGAGGTTTGTAAAGCTTGTTTTTTTCACCTTAAACGTAGTCAAGTGTAGCTTTTCGGTAGTGGTAGTCTAGTTCAGGGGATCTGAGATCTATTCTTTATGTAATGCCAGCGAGACACAGGCATTAATTGATATCAAGGGCCGCTTCTTTGGTGGAAGAACGGTGCATGCTTCATTCTATGGTGAGGAAAGGTTTACAAACAAAGAGCTGGCTTCAATGCATGGAGAAGTACCTGGTTACCCATGGGGAACATTATTAGGCGATGAGCGTCTCCAATGGGCTTTCTAGTAGATAATACGTCGGTAACAATTGTAGCGTGTCCATGGAGCTTAATGCAGTCGACCATGCATGCCTAAGTTTTGGTCCGAGCTATCAATTTGAGGTTCGGGAAACTCTTTGTAAAGCATTAAAGGATGTTCTTGGTGAGGATTGTAGACCTGGAAACGTGCTTACATGATCTGTTAATGGACATTGTTTGTTCCTTCTTAAAACTGCAAGCTATTGTAATCCTGGTTTGTTCTTATTTATCCTTATCAACATAAATTTGTTCCCTTTGGATGGTATGCAATTTTTAGGTTGCATGTTATCCATCAACTCATGAATTGCTGGATTAGGGGTTCTAAATTTTTTTTGATAAAAAATGATACTGTAATTTTTTTTATATGCTTGATTGCTCCATCAATCAAAGATGGTCTCTGCATTAAGTGAAGGTGTCCAAAAAATACAGATTGAATCTGACTCGGAGAAATTAGTTTACATACAAGAAGGAAAAAATATTTCTCCCTATAATATTGTCTTTTAAAGAATTTTATGTCATGTACAACTTTGCATGTGTATACATGATTAATTGAGCGATCATTATAAAAGAAAAAAATATATTCTAATAAATAATTATGAATGTTATCATCATCATTTTCATGTGATATTATTTTAATTTTATTATATTAGACTCCATTTGTCCAATCCAAAATATATCTCGGAATCGATCGTAGACCTTTCTTGAGTAGTGAAAGCATCGGATCTATGTATCAAGATCCTGTAAAACTATGTGATCTATGTATCAAGACCCTGTAAAACTATGTCGAAAACATGCTCAATAGAGCTTTTGATTTAGATGATTTTATTTTATCAAATCAAAAAAGAATCTAATTATCTTAGATCAATTTAGATCAATATGAAATGACAATATACTTGAGAGTTTTTATACTATAATATGTGGTTGCAAATATTGGTAATTTGAGGCAATGATGTGAATTATTTAATTCGTATTGCTCATTTGGTAATTTGAGATAATGACTCGGAATATCTCGGAGTCATAATGATTTCATCATCGATTTTTCTTTAGTATAATAATAAGGTACCAACACATATCATTAGGGTATCGATCATGAGTCATTAAGACGTCAACCATAGTATGCTAAGGTGTCGACAACCTATCAAGTATCTATCTCGTCTTATCAAATTTAATATAATTGATTATGTTAAGTCGTGACTCTAAATTAAGTATTACATGAATAATTTCTTAATTTTATAAGGATAAAAATATAAATTTATATTAAATTACTAAGCACATTTCTCCGTATGATTCGAACATTAAACTTGGTGGATGTCTACGTGTCTATAATTCAAAATTGAGTTGCCGTTTGGAGATCCAAGATAACGTATCGTTATAATTAAAATAACGGTTTCGGGTGTTTGTCGTTATATCCGACATATGGCGGATTTGAGAATCCGTTACCATCCCCAAAAGAAGGCATCAAATCATGATCATGTTGTTGGCGGACAAATTAGCCAATTACTCCTCTCTCTCTTTCTCTCTCTCTCTCGACTCTCTCTCTGTCTCCCGATATCCCCAAACCTCGTTCCTCGTGTTTCGAACGCCTTCTCCCCCTCGCTGGCCGATCCGATCGCTGCGACCGTCGCAAGTCCTTTTTGTTGGATTTGGATCGGAGGGCAAGGTCGATGGCGGCGGCAGCGATGGGCAAGATCGAGAGGGCCCATCGGATGTACCGCGAGGGGTGCCACGAGGTGGCGCTCGGGCTGTACACGGACGCCCTGGCGATGGCCAAGACCAAAGCCCAGAAGATCGCTCTCCACAGCAACCGGGCCGCCTGCTACCTGAAGCTGCATGACTTCAAGAAGGTCCCGCCATCTCTTATCTCTATTTTTATTCTTCGTTTCTCTTTTCTCTTTGTTTTTGTTGGATGAAGTGGATTGCTATAATAGCTTGTAGGTCTGCTAAATGTCTCGAGAGTTTGAGGAAAGAATATGTAAACTAGTAGTTACATGCAAATTAAGTGATATAAGTGATATATATGCACGCAATCGAGTAATTGATTTCAAAGTTATTGAGTTTTGACATATAAATGATTCTTAGTTCGTAATCACGTCATATTTAAACGTTAAGCTTCTTATGATGCTAAGAAGTAATTATTAAAGACAAAATTAAGTTTTTTTATTGGGCTACCAATTGGAGGAGGAAATATGGTCTCCAATAAGACCCTTGTGTCAAGGTTTACACCAGTGCAGGAGGAGAAAAGAGCATCAAGAGAGTGATAAAGATATATTAATTGAAGATATATCTAGCTAATATAGATATTCAGGAGGGAGAAAAGTTGGTCACTATGATGAGGTTACTCCTTTATAATATCGATATCCCAAGAGCTTTAATAGGTATATAATATAAGTTAGGATTGCTATTTTCATACTAGAATTATTATCATCGTCTTATGTATCTCTTGTAGAGGAAATTTTTGGGGTTCCATGATAAAATTCGAAGTAAAATAGCTCTCTAATAGGAGACCCATCCTGTCATAATTATAATGATGGATAGAAATACTTAATACCTGAATTAGTAGTAAGAAACTTGGTAATTTATCTTTAATAGATACATGCCGCCACTGTTGCATGATTATAGATACAAGAGCTGAACTCCAGTATTCATATGAATGGGAAAAAGACAAAAAGGAAGTTATGGATACATTTTCAAGAGAAATGGTTGTTTATCTGATGTTTTTGGAAATTTGTTTGTAATTGTTGTGAGGTGGTAATAATCTACTAAAAGCATATCTAAAGAGTCCAACTCCTTACAATTTTTAACATTTTATCCAGCTACTTTGACAAATTTCAAGTGTTCGAAGTCGTTTCATTATGAAATGTGGTTTAATTATTTGTCCATGTCTTGTTATCATGAGTCAAGTTTAAGAAACCATCTGAGAAGCTACATAAAATGTTCAAGTTGGAATAAGATTTAGTTTCTTCGAATTTTGGAATTGGGTGTTTGACCACTCAGGACTTCTTGCTCGTATTGTTCCAAACTACAAGGCAGTTTCCTCTTACTGTTCTCACATCCATGCTCGCATGACTCTCCATCGTGTAAGGTGGAAAATCTTTTGCTTTTACCATTGAGGGTTTTCCATATTCTTTTAATTGGGGAAAAGAATCAATTTTTAACTTGACAGTAGAGCTGATATATGAAATATTTGGTGGCATCTACCTTTTGGCATGCAAATTATTATTGGATAGCTAATACCTTTTAGCCCTTTGTTCATGCCACTTCTTTTTTGTCTATATACTAGCCATTAATGATATGCATTCTTGAGCTCCTATATAAAAGGTAGAAGTTGAAGAGATATTTCTTTGACTTTGTCCATATTGTCTTTTTTCTGTGTATGCATGTATATGTAGGAGGTCTTGATAACCTATAGGTATACAAAATCTTTTGAAGGCTTTATTTTGTCCTCAAATGAATCTGTTATCAATATCTATTCCAGTATCTAATGTAGATGCAGTATCGACTAAACACTTACTTTCATTATTTGCTACATCAGGTAATCGTTTTTTCTTCGGTCACTTCTATATTGGTAAACAAAGGTGAACATTTAAGCATGCACAAACTTGAATTTGTTAGTCATGAACTAGTTGCATAAATATTATAGAAACATGTTCTGCCTGCCATCTTTTGCATTGAATTCACTTGAAAATGAAAATGATGATAGGCAGCAGAAGAATGTACGTCAGTCCTTGAGCTGGATCATCAACACACGGGAGCTTTGATGTTACGTGCACAAACATTAGTCACTCTTAAGGATTATCAATCAGCACTTTTTGATGTGAACAGATTGATGGAGCTGAATCCATTGTCAGATGTGTATAGAAATTTGCAAGCCCGGCTAAAAACACAATTGGTATGCTTCTTTGCTTTTTTCCCAGTAAAATCTCACTTTCTGATTTTACATGTCACTCACTTGGTGAGAGTTCATTTTGTTTTGTTTTCTCTGACATGCTACACATGCTCTAGGGCAAGGTTCTTAATTTCATATCATATCAGCATTTCGAGCTTTGCTCGATATAGTACGATACGAGCGATATGCCAGGGTGTACCACTCGATATATATATATATATATATATTTATATGGTATGCAGTACCGAATGGTATCAGCGATGAAAAATAAGAAAAAGTGGGCGTACACTGCCTCGGCGATGTCGCCTCCTTTTCTTCTCCTCGTCGCACTTCTCCTCATCTGTGGCATTCGGTGAAGACATCGAAGGCAGCAGACATCTCCGAAGAACGTGGTGAAGGCCGTAGGCATCTTCGGCCTTTGGCGAAGAACACGGCGAAGAAGAAGTCGAGTCCCCGTCTCTCCATTGCCTTCTAGATCGGGATCGTCGAGGGAGGGCGGTGCCGAATCGGAAAGCGTCGAGGTTCTCCCGATTCCTCCTCTTCTTCTCCCTCTTTTTTGAGCGCCTTCTCCCTCTTCTCTCTTAATGCTTCTTCTTTTCTCGCCGCATCCAGGTCGTAGCTAGGCTGATACCGCCCGGTAGCGGGCGGCAATAGTCGAAATCGACCATTATCGACCTGTTTTAGGTGGTAACAACTGAAATATCGACCGTTACCGCCCGATACAGACCTGTATTGTCCTATATGGAGCTAGATCAATGGTACCGCCCGGTAGCAAGTGGTCCGCGTATCGATCTGCTGGCGGACTGGTACGTACCGCCCGGTACGGGCGGTATCATTCAAAATTAAAATCCTTGCTCTAGGTTTTATCATTTGTTTTCACCTAGCAATTGTCGCACCTCGGTTATAGCATTACTATCTGTGACATTGCCCCAAGAACATAGATAAGTTTTATCATTTGTGAATGATATGTATATGCTACTTTGGATGATAAAAAAGATCATTAAAGAAATAAACATGACTTCAATTGGCCATGCTTATAATTGAACTTGAAATGCAGTTAAAAGATGAATTCTAAAACTTACTCTTTATCAAATCCTATACATTGTTTTACCTTCTCTTGTTAGTCTTACACATTAGATCTTCAAATGGTTGCGAATTATTCTGACATCATGTTAAATTAGTTGATCAAAATTTTAGTGACCATGAAACTGATTTCTAGATTGATATTAATTTAAGAAGTAGTTGGCAAGGAAATGTTAATGGTTAACTAAGTATTTGTTAGCTAGTGCATCTGTTTTGTTAGCCAGCAAACCAATGATACTTTACATGGCTTTGAATTACCTTGATACATAGTGTGGGGAGAGATTACTATGACCTTAAGCTATTGTGAATGCTAAATTCTTGATTTTTCTTTAAATATACCTTTGTCATCTCATCTATAATTGTCACTTTCTGGTCACTTTGTGTATTCCATATCAAGGATTTAAATCTTGCTCCGACATTAGCTTCAGCAACCAGATTATTGTGGTACTAGTATACTGGATGGTGTTTGTTCAGGGTCACCCAAATGACAGTAAAAACTTGAATACCAACGGATACTGACTTATATAGTTCAATACCAGTCCTTGGTCTGACTGGTAAATACTGGTCCAGCCGATATTTGTAACCTTGGTTCACAAAGTGCTCTGTTTATGCAGTTTCTTTTTCAATAGTAACTGCAAGCAAGAGAACAAGAGAAATATCTGCAAAAGACATTCTACGAAGTGTATAAAAATGGATTCTCTGTAGATCAATCCAGTACCGGCATCGAAGCATATAGGTCGACATAATTATGGTAGTATTCTTTTTAAAAAAAAAAATCAGGTGATACATGTTGATATACTACTCGATATATTGGTGTTTGTACTAGTCTGGTAGATTATTTGGACTGATATTAGACCTGTATTTAAATCCTTATTTAGCCTACCCTTTCATTAATAGTAAATATCCATCTAAAGTGCCAGTTGCACTTTAACTGGGTCCTGGATTTTGCAGACCATGTGACCCTGGTAAAATCAAGTGGCAGTTTAGCTTTCCATGCACGATCATTGCCCACAACATTTCCATTACTTTTTTTCATAGGATCATCTACCATGTCATCTCCATTATTTTTGGTCGTAGAATCCTCCACCGTATCTCATCATTACTTTGTTCACCTAAGAAACATTGGTCCTCTAGCCACTGTTGCTCGACATGGATTTCTAATCGAACAGATAAAATGCTTTTGAAAGAGTTCAAGCGCTTGTTGTCTTACCTCAGTAGAATTTTTTTTGCCAGTTGCAAGTCATGTTAGATCAGTGGAATGCCAAAATCATATGTATTCATGTGTCATGAATAATGAAGACAAAGCACAAGTGTTTCCTTGACATTAGGTCTTGACATATGACTGTGGATGTAAGATATACCATGTGTCCATTTATCGAGGGTTAAGAAAGAATCTTAATCAACAAGCAATATTTGTTTAAAGTTTTCATTTCCAATATTTATTTATTGTCCTTTATCTGTCTATCTATTGTTGAAGTCACTTGCTCCAATACCCGAGTCTGAGGAAGAAGCATCTTCTCTCGAAGAAAACGAAGAAGAAGTCCAACCAAAAGGAACAAGGACCCAGTCAGAAGAGGAAAGAAAAGTTGACCCTGCTGATGAGAAACCTGAAGCACCTGTAACCCAACCTGCAAACACTGAGGAGGCCTCTGCTAATACTTCTTCCAAACCACAGGGTTGGGAAGCAATTCCAAAACCAAAAGGGCATTCAGGGCTTGATTATTCACGATGGGACAGGGTCGAAGACGATTCAAGTGAAGAGGAAGAGGATGACACAGAGGACCAGCAACCTCGGTATAAATTCCGTGTTCGAACTGTGGGTGTGAAGCCTGTAAAATGAATAAACACATTTATGATGTTCATAACAAGATAAATGGAAAGTTCTTGATCTTCTCATTCATAGCCTGTCTACTAGGAGTATTTGATACTCGTGCTAGCATGTTTACATCGTCCACTGGAGTCTTTAAAAGCAATGGAAGATGCCTAAGAAAAACACTCGCTAAGGTCACTGGAACTGATGATATTGATCCTCCACGGACTTCTTGTAAGGAAAGATGAGTTTTAGTGTTTCAGTTGTTTACTTTTAACTTGGATCGCAATAATTTTTGATCTATCCATGGACTTATAAGGCTTCTTTTCTTGCGAATGCAGGTCCTTCAATCGACCGTCGGGGCACATTCTCATTAAAGTTGTTCTTCGGCACAAACAGCATGCCGGCCACCTTGTCCTTACTCCCATCGATAGCCTTAGTTGGGGAGTTCTCTAAAAACCAACTAGATTCTAGTCTCTTACTTCCATCAGTTCTCTTATGATGATAAACATATTCTCCTGTATGAAGTTAAATTATGTCATCTATTTCAAGTTTTGTATGTTATTAGAGATGGTAGTGTTAGGTGTGTAATGTAATTGCACGTATCAGTAAGATAGGTCAGTCCTTTACTGTGAAGCTGATGCTGTCAAGGTGGGGTATCCAAAAGATCTATGTTGAAATCGTTTCGATGATTTTATATTCCAGTGACATAACTCGAAGAGGGAGCACTCAGACTCTTGTCCATGGCTGTTTTTTGGTGTAAAGAAGAAAGATGACAGTGGCGAGAGAGAGAGAGAGAGAGAGAGAGAGAGAGAGAGTTGTATTATGCTGTTTATATCAGTCAAATTAAGTGTGACTTATCATGAATAAATCCTCCCTCTATTTTGAATTGATGTTGTTAGATTTGACAGCTAAAAGAAACTGGACACATGAAACCAGTCAAGTCATGAGCAGCTGATTAAGGTTTGCCGTGAGTGGTGGTACGCTCAATTGACCATAAGAGCATAATCAATCAACAATGATACAATGCCACCTAAGCATGTTGGATCAACCAAGAGATCAATATGGTGCCACCAAAGCATACCCACCCAGCCATTGTTGCATCCAAAAGAAAATGTTTTCTACTGATAGTTATGTATCATTTTGCCTATAAAAGAAACTTCCTTTCGACTCTCCAGATTGACCTTCTGTCTACTAACTTAACCGTAGAGTAAGTTTACTTAATAATTTCAGTTCTAACTCTTTCACAGCCGTCGATATGTCCGAGTGGTTAAGGAGACAGACTTGAAATCTGTTGGGCTTCGCCCGCGCAGGTTCGAACCCTGCTGTCGACGAACTATTTTTTCGGGTTCAATCGACCAGCCAATTCTCAACCGTTACTATTACCATTTGTATTGCATCACATTTTTATATGAGCAATGGATACAGCGTCAAGATGAACAACAAATCCATGTCGTCAAATCCATCCATATAAAAGCAAAACTAGCTGGCAAAACACCATTCTTAAACTTGACCTTCATCTGTAGCTAATAGTTCCTTCCACACGAATAACTCGAATTTTGTGATTACATATGGAATCATTAAAGAAAATCATTATATGAAGGGGAAAAAAGGCCACCTTATTGTCATTGCTCCCGCAATAACCCAATTTTTGAGACGAAAGAATAAGAAATCAAATCGCCCTTGAAATCAGTGACAAGCAGCTCGGTTGATAAATTTCCCTTGAAATCAAATTGCTTTTATTCCAACGAGTTCCCGTAGCTTCTCACAGACAATAAATGTGATTGCGGTCTGGGGACCTAATCTCGCAAAGGTGGCAGATCCACTGAACAGAGAAGATAATTAGATCAACATGAGTTTTTTTTATTAAGTTCTATAGTGTTCTTCGAAAAGAAAAAGAATTCCCATATGTAGCGGCTACACTACACACTTTGGTTTAAAGCAAATGCAACAACTAAAATTTAGGGACACAACTCCACAAGAACATGGTGTTTTGTCAGTGTTACATAAATTGCATCACCACGAGCTCAATGCTAGCGCACGTATTTTATACGTAGGTGAAAAAAAACCCTACGTTGTGTTTATATCACAATGAACACCGAGAGATCAAGTGGAAAACAGAGGTCTAGGGCACATGGGTCAGATAGCCGAACCATGTAAATTTGTACAGCTTAGAAGTTTGACAAGTAGAACTCATGTTGGTTGCAATCAAGTTTCAAATATCTAGCGTGCATGATGGATAGACGACCCATGAGTTCAACCCATGAGTTCACTGTCCTTTGCAAACAACAATGGATAACCTTAACTACTGGGTTTCAATCCTGTGCGAACCATAAAGTCTACAGTAAAACCACCAATGAACTAACAAAACAAATAAAAAATATATATCTTTTCCAACTGAAATAAACTCGGCTGATATCAAAGAACATGACATCCTTGCTGCATGTCCCAATCATGGGCTAATCAGTACAAATTTTAGAAAAAACAGTCTTAAATGCTGGATTATGTAGTTCCTGCCAATTATCCACTTTGTATAGTCTCATTCTTGAGTGCAACCAAAAAAAAAAGGGAAAAAAAAGACAGAACATAGTTTATTGTGGATGGCTTGTTTGCTTTCGCCTTTTTCCAGGCGGTCTTAAATTCAAATCTTTGGCAACTTCTGACCAGCCTATCCTAATGAGGCTCTTAACATTTGGACGTGATTTTTAGTGATGCAGACAAATATAGTAACTATTCATTGACACGATATTTAGCAAAAATACAGAATTTGTAGGGAACTTAAAATGAAGAAAGAATAAAAGCTTAGGATAGATGATTAGAAAGAGAAGAACAGGGAAAAACAACTGGAATATACAGAATTATAAATATCAAACTCTCGCCCGGAAAATTAAGTACCTTAAGTTCTTACCATTTATGTTGTTTGAAGCACTATCAACATTCAATCAATAGGAAACAATTTCTACTGATAAAGGTCTTTCATTATCTTTCTATAAAATTCTGTCATTGTTGCTTCTCTCTGTAATATTTTATTGTATAAAGTACCATTATTATTAGTCAAAATTCTAACCTTATCAGTTCATGTGGGTTTTTTCCTCTCATATTCTAGACCAAATACACTGAGATGTCATCATAATTGAGAAGATCATTAGTAAGGTCAAGATTGTACGGGGATGATACTAATGGTAAAAGACAAAAATTCATTAAAAAAAAAAGAGAAAAAAATTAAGAAAATATTTCTTATGGTAAAAGATTCTTTTATCTTCACATTGCATAAGATATCCATCTTTCCCAAAGAGAAAAAGAAAGACATGGTTTAGTTAGAAGGTATTCATGTGGCATGACCTTTTAGCCTCACAAAAGAGAACATGAGATTCCTTGAAAGATCACAGACAATTTGCAGCAAGGTTGGAAGAACAGCAAAGCATGATTAAATACAATAAAAATTCATATATAAAATTCTATATCTAGAAAGTAAGAAAAGATCCTTACCCTTTGTAAAGTGCTCCAAAGCCTTCTGTAAGCACTACCTGAAAACAGTACAATATCCCAACCAAAAGAAAAGTCAAACATGAAGATTTAGAAGTTAGAAAGCAGAACCACTTTGCTAAGAGATTTAGAAGTCTCTTATTAAGAAAATCAACTAGCTAGATCTGAAGCATGAGTGACTCTCCTTAACACTTCACATATGCAAGTTGCATGGGTAAACATATTCTGCAATATGCAAGTTGGTGTGATACCTGGTAAGCACAATGGAATGCATTTCTATAATTTCTGACACCTCTTGCTTCTTGTTGTAACATTAGACGAGTTTTAATCATGTCCACTGGTGCAGTTACAAGAGTTCCAACCGTTCCAGCTATGCAGCTTGAGCTTCATGCAGGCATCAAGTAAGTCGTTTGCGGAAGCACTAGATTTATAGATCTTGACAACAAAAAACAATCAGGAATTCTTCATACATGAGATGTAGATGAAAGCCTTCTTCAAGAGGGGTCCACTTAAGCAAAACCTGAAACCAATAAGAAAATTTAGTCATTTAATGGCAAGCAAAGACCCTATATGGCATGGTAGGATTTAATATTACAGATACTAAGAATTTTTAGCAATAATAAGCTCCTGCCATAGTATATATCAATGCATCAAAAAAAGAATCAGACCTGTTTTGATTCATCATAAGTTGCAAGCTGTGATGCTGTCAGACAACTAGCTCTTGCCATTGCTGGGCCAACTCCTTTCCAAAGTGCTCGCACACCCTCATCTGACACAATTTTGTACATTTCCCTGAAGGGTCCAGTTTGGGAGCTTGAGTTCATTTGTAACCTTACCTATACGAGTATATTAGTTGCACTACATGAGGATCATAACAGAAGCTACATCAAGTTATGTATTGTAGCAGTCTGAAATATTTCTACCTTTAGAACTTCTGTTGGATTAGTCACACCAGTTGCAATTGCACCAGAAAATGCCCCAGATGCAATTTTCACAAAGATATTAGTTGAACCAACTACGTGTTCACAAACATACTTGAAAGGTTCATATAAACCTAAACGAAGACCTCCATAAAGGAGAGACCTAGTCAACGCAGGTCCAAGCCCCAAATAGAGACTTCCAGCTCCTTCATTTTTTATCATTTGTGTGAAAATTGTTCCCTGCGGATTTCATATGTCTCATTCAGCAGCTATCTCTATGGTAAAAACAGAAAAATTCGACTTGCCTAAGAGATATGTCCAGAAGCAGCAAGAGGATACCATCCCAACCAAATGTCCTCTTTGGCCAGCAAGCTGCATTTGGAGTCTAACTTTGACGACATCTGCATTCAATTTCATAATACCCTATTAAGAAAGTTACTAACTCAGTAAGAGTAGAAATTATAATAGTCGCAGGCTAAACAATCCTGTTAATCACAATAAGAATATGAAAGGATCCTCATAAACCAGGTGATTATGGAAGTTTTATTAACTGTCATTTCAAATGAAAAATAATCAAGCATATTACAACTAGTCATGACATGAAAAATGCAATGACAACAAATAGGGAGACAATCATCTGCTGGTTGCCATGAGGCCATTCAGAAGGATGCTAAGATCTTACCATGTATAAGACACCAAAAGTGGCAATTGATCTAAAAAAGATAATTCTTTTAAGCAACAAGTAAAATCAATGCTTGGAACCACTGGAACAAACCTAGTTGGTTGAGTACTGAAAAGTGTCTTCATGTAAAGTTTTCTCTAAGCATTAATTAAAATCAATGTTAAAAAGCCAAATGCAGTAAGCCTAGGTGATTAAAAAATAATAAAGCAAGGTTTGTCCTAGAGCTGCAAACACAACGAGCCTCATTTTCCTTCATTCTTCTTTTTCCTGAAAGATCAAAGTTATAGGCATAACTTAAAGAAACAGCCTCAAGAACGTGAGTTGAAGAGAAACCGCGTTCATCACCCGTTTACAGCAGTTCCCAATTCGACTAGCTAGGGTTCCAAAAACTCCCACGAGTATCCAATTCACAACAATGATACAAGAAGAAGAGAAGAAAGACATAGGAAAAGAAGGAAAATGGTACACACACACACACACACACACACACAAAAACACGAAACTGGGTACCCAAGGGATGGGTGACGGCGGTCGCGACAGCGACAGCCGCCCCGCTGGTCGTGAAGTGATAAGCGGCATACGGCAGCCGCAATTCGGATCCCTTCATCTCCTTCCCTCCCATCAGCGCTGCAAACATCCAAGACCACGATTCAGAAGCGCAGCTGCAAGCAATTGACCAAAACAAACAAACAGATCACCATGAAACATAATCACAAGGGTCATCCGCGAGTTCCCCGATTTGGATCTGCGGAAGCAAATCGGAAGAACGAGCATGTGGGTCAGACCTTAGGACGAAGGATCCTAGAATTCTGAGTGGTATTACCTGGGGATGTTGCCGGCGTCGGAGGAGAGGGTGGGAACCGTACATCGCCCTTTCTCAACCTCTGTTTCTTTCCCTCTTTTTCCAATTTAATAGGACAAAAATATAAGGGATACTTAAAAAACGGGAAAAAGATTCGCCATTCGGACAAGAGAGTTCGTTACGGCAGGTTTTGAATTTTATTTTGGGGTATTACATATTCATACTTCCAGTTTAAGGATAGCATATTTGCCCCCTCTAAATATTTAAATAAGACGTATGTGTATACTCTCAAATATTTACAGCTACTAATTTTTGTTAGCGACAAAATTAGAGAAACAATAAATGACTAAAATAACCTTTGATTATTCTCGCTGATTATTTGATTTTCGATCCTCTATTTAAATTTAAAGGAATACATATAAAAATATTAATTCAAGAGAGATATATATATAATATTTTTTAAAGGTATATATAATAACATGGTCAATGCTGTGTAAAAAAATTCCTGGTGAGCTTTTGCTGGGAGCGGCATTCATTCTCAACTTCACAAGTTGCATGGCCTGACAATAAATAATATGAACCAAATCACAATCATTAGATAAAATATTTTCAGGACAAATTTGCTCTACATCCAGAAGTGTATGCTAAAAAGAGACAACAGATGCCAATTTTTGTTCAATAAAACAGAAGCATTCCTCGTCTCTCTAAGAGGGAAGGGTATAACAAACATGTAGTAGTACCCTATCATCAGCATTCTTTCACTCTCGAAAAGTACATGAGCAAAAATAATGTAGAAAACGTTTACTCGGTCTACGATAAGCATTGTAATTTCTCATCGTTCAAATCCAGACGTCAAAAACACTTTTGAGATTTTGACCAACGTCGAATTAGGTTGGTTTTCTCATGTTCCGACCAGCACGGATCACTTCATCCACCAGAAGCAACTGGGATGCAATGACAGGCCTGCAAATAGAAGACACATACATGAATTATCCATCGGAACAAAGTTTGTGAAACTATCAATGGTAGTACTTACCCTGAGTTTATGATCTGTCTTTTCACTGAGTAATTGTCAAAGATACCTTCCATTTGTGGATCTATTGGTTCTCCAGTATGGTGATTCAAACCCACAATGTTACCTCTGTCATGCTCACCCTTAAGAACATCATGAATTGTGGTTTAAGTTAGACCAAGATGCAAGACTTTGCTGATTGCCTTAGGTGAGTGGAGAAAAATATATGTTATAGGCCATTACCGTAAGAGCGATAATGACATCTTGTGTGTCGAGGCCAGAGTTCTCTGCTAGTGTCTTCGGCACCACCAGAAGAGCATCAGCAAAAGCTTCTACACCAAGCTGTGCACGCTGTAAAGAACATTTCATCAGTAATCTAGCATCAAGATAGTTGCTTGTACAAGATTTCAGAACACCATACCCCTTGAACAGTTTTCTTTATGTTGGTGACCAAATGCTGCCTGGCTGCAACCTCAAAAGCGCCAGCCCCCTATGCCAATGACAATATATCACAAAAATATTTGTAAAGTATCCAGTTCGTCTTGTTACTCACTTTCATTGGCTCAGTATTTGTTCATTCTACAGATGAGCTAAAAGTAGCTATAACTTAAAACAAATTGACTAGCAATTAACATACAAAACGGGAAAATAATCATCATAATCTTTCAAGAAAAGAACATATTAAATAATACAACATGGTGCATAGATGCAGTACTCTATAAGAAATGTTGCCATGATTTTTATCTTTGCTTGACGCAAGGATCTAGACAATATTCCTCGTAGATTCAAAATCCTGCGATGTTTTGTGAACTTGATTATGTTTTCTCCTCTACAGCATAGATCAACCATTCAATCAATAAACATGTAAATTTAAGAAGATACCACATGGGCAGGATCAATAAACCGGCATGGAGTTATGTTCTAGTTTGTGCCATATTTACTAGCTACGTCAGAATGGTGTGGGGAGTTCTGCTTTTCCGCGATGTCTTTGATGTGCTGTTCTGAGATGGGTTCTTCCTGCTATGTCGCGGTTATGTAAACTACATGATGAGCCCAGTTTATCTGGAGCTTCTTTCTGTTTACTTCTCTTTTAAGCAGAAGCAAAGTGCAACCACAGTTGCGCATTAGTATAAACCTCGTCTTAAACAGCCATCAACTGAAAGTGCATTAAAGTGCCTGAAACATCATAATTATGGTAGTCCTGAAATGACTGCATCTCACTGCAGGAAACTTAAGAAAGATAGTAATATAGCTTGAAAGAATTCCAAATTGCAATATCAGCTAGCTTTGAACTGGCAGGTTGCCATACCACACAGGAAATCATGCATAAAAAGAAATTTAAAAATCTACATAGCATGACACTAGAAACTATGATATAAAAATATCCAAAAAGAACACCATAGAAGACACAACATATGAGGTGAAGAACAAAAACACTTATATCTTGATCAAAGCATATTTAAACAGATAAAACCTAAAAGTATTTGTAACTGATCTCAAACCAAGGAATACAGGTGCTTCTAGCGTAGTTAGCATTCTGATGGAAAGAATCATGCTTACATTACCACAATATAATCTGTTTATCAAAAACTTTCTGAAAAGTAAATAAATGAAAGTTTCCACAGAAAGTTTTCTGAAGAAATTTTCCCTCAACCAGGACCTGCCAGTCAATCATATGCCACTAGCAACCAGATGCCCAAAAACTGTCTTTAAATACCTCGTCCACAGCATTGGGCATTCTGAATTCTCGTGTAATATGGTATCTTAACACATGCCATGCATCAAATACTTGCAATCTTATATATGCCACTAGCAACCAGATGCCCAAAAACTGTCTTTAAATACCTAGTCCACAGCATTGGGCATTCTGAATTCTCGTGTAATATGGTATCTTAACACATGCCATGCATCAAATACTTGCAATCTTAAGGTCATCTATATTTTTAATACCTTCACAGTACGGCAATACCCCTGATCCAGCTATAATGATATAAAATAACATTCAGAACACCAACTTATATAGACAATCACCTACACATGATCTTCTAAAAGATTAGCTTCACAATCAAGCATCTAAACATGACGTACAGAAAACACTGTATTTTATAGCATAAGCACGAGGCAGCTACACCAGCGATAAACTAATCCTGTCCATTGAGTCACATCACTAATGCCTACGGAATCATACTGTCATGCTGGCTGTACCAACATATTGGCCTGCTCATGGCATGACTTTAAAAGTATATATTGCAGATCCAGGCACAATACCACTCCAAAGGTGCCACCCACAATGCAAGCCACAATACCATGCGGTTAGATGAGTTACAGCACTTGCCATATGAGAATGAAAGATGTACCACAGCATGTCAAACTTGATAAATTATGCTCGTTGATAAATACAGAAAAGAAGCATATCAACATTTGAGAACACCCCCAAAATTCAAAATCTCACCAGGACAACAGCTTCATCTTCAAGTGTATTCTTGACAGACCTGAGACCATCACGAACAGCATCCTTGATTTGAGCAATTGTATGGTCATTGGGTCCTGCAATGATGAATAACCTGATTTGAGATCCCCAATCGGGTGCTTTGTAGCTAAAGTAAAAAATGAATAATATTATCCTAGAAACTCAGAACCTTTAATCAAGATAGTACAAGAACGAGGGTTTTTCACATTCTCCACAAAGGTGTACTTTTCTTCACCAAGAATATGCTCATAAACAAGCCCAGCCCAGCCAAGACAATCTTCGGTCAAGTCATCAACAGAATTGACAGCCTCCCCACCACAAGCTAAAACCAGTCTTTCCATATTCCTCCTCTTAGCTCTTCGAAGTGCAATAATCTAGAAAGTGAGAGTAACAAAAGTCAAAATTGATACGTGGTAAAATTCTAAATAATTACAAAGGTTTCAAACATATGTATACATATGTATGTACATACATGTATATAACAGTCAGTATCTCAGAAAAGGATTCAGTGTTGTTCAGGATGAATTGAAAATGATATTACGTCTCAACAAAGCAAGAGCAGCCAAAATATAACATATGGGACAAAAAATAATTCAGGTTGAGCAAAAGTAAGAAGGCCAACGATGCAAAGATAGCACTCACCAGTTCCCTACAGAATACAAGAACCAGAAAATAAAGGTTGCAATTATCACAGTTATCAATCCAAAGATAAGTCATTTATTATGACTTGCATCCTTACAGGTGGCAGATTTAACAATGACAAGGGATGATACTAGAATGAACTGACAGCTATTAAGGACCTCATTTTGCCAGAATGGAAGGGATCACTCAGCATGAGGAGCAAACTGATGCTAAAGCTGTCATCAACATGCTGGTTCTTAAGCAGAATCCACCATGGAATGTTGTTCACATCCTTGGAGACAATCAGATCATTTTAGAATCCTTGTCATGTTTATATATAGAGGGAAGGAAATTGTTGTGCCAATTGTTTGGCCAATTTTGCTAGGTTGTACAAATCCAATTTTGTTTGAAGACATGAGTGGCCTGAGGACTTTCCTTTTTGTGTGCTGATCTGCAGGACACAGGATGTATTTGTGTTTTGAAGTAATATAATTCTCTTTCCTTTGAATAAAGGGAACATTTAATTAATTAATGTTATGGACTGATCAATAATCTAAGAAATATAAGTTGATTGTAACTTCAAGGGACTGTGACCGCTAACCAGCACATATCACTAGCAATAAATGAAAAGGCACTAAAAAAGTGAGTATAACAAGAAGGATTATAACTCTCAAACTATGCATAATTCGAAAACAAAACCCATTATACCAAACAAAATGTTATAAAAAGGGCAACAAGAGTTGCTCAAAACCATGTAATGAATGTAGACCAATTTATGCATTTCAAATGGAAGGAACTTAGATTTGTCATCTCATCTTCTCAAAACCAAAATGTATGAGAAACAAGGTGATCAAACCATAACTGCAATTCACTATGATTTCTCTTAATAGAGTGGTGCGGATGTATCCTAAACGAAAGAAATCATGGATAATTAGAAAATACCATTCAGTTTAAAAGTAAAAAATTGTACAGCCTAAAGGATGAGG